GAACCCCTTGCTAAAAGTTTTGAAGGCCACCCCTGGCTCTGACAGGATGGTGGGGAATGGAAGGATTTATATTCCTTGCAGACAGCTGGTCCAAGCAGTCTCCACACCCATTTGCACAACCTTGAGGATACAGATAAGCCTCCAAATGGCCTCAACGACCCTCTAAAAGGATGCAAATGACCAGCTGTCTGCAAGGAGTATAAATCCTTCCATTCCCCACCATTCAGTCAGAGCTGAAGAAGCTTCTTGGTTGAGAAGCCTTCAAAGAAAAATCAGAAAGTCCAGTTGCCTCTTGAAAAAAGCACCTTTGGGACAGCTGTGACCTGGATGACTGAGAATCTTCACAGATATTTAGCTACGCTGCAGAGCAGGGGTGGGTTCTAAATTTTTTTACTACCGGTTCTGTGGGCGTGGCTTATTTTGTGGGTGTGGCTTGGAGGTCATGTGACTAGGTGGGCGTGGTTAGCTGGTCAGAGTCATTTCTGGAAGGTCCCCACACTTACGACCAGTCCTCGCACTTACAACCCGACTCATTTGTTTGCTTTTAACACTGATCAGCTGTAGGACGGCCCTTTGAAGCCCCGCGGCAAGAGTTTAAACAGTTTTTTTCCACTCTAGTCATCAGCTGGGACTCAGGAGGCAGCAATAGATTGGGGGTGGGACCAAATAAAAGGTAAGAATAACGTGGGGGGTGGGGGGGTGGGAGGGCGGGGGGAGGGAGAACCGGTTCGGTGACGTCATATCGTCACCGTTACCAGCTCGGCCGAACCGGACCAAACCAGGAGGAACCCACCACTGCTGCAGAGATTATCACTCGGTACAACAGCCAGGAAACCCTTGGAAAAGTTCTTCAAATATATTGAAATATATTGGCAACAATTTAGGGTTTGTTAGCACAATAAGAAGAGAACTGCATCAGTGTAATGTAAGGTAGCAAAACAAAAACAAAAAAAAAATCAGGGATGTGGCAGAACCTTTTCCAACTAACTAATTTTATTAAAAGGCAGATGCTTTCATAAGCATCTCAAGTTCTCAAGGAGAAGATTATCTTCTGCGTGTCGAGCGCCAGAGAAATTAGGATATTCAGGCAGTTAAAATGAGTCAGAGTTAAGAACGAATTCAAGGTGGGATTGGATTAGATCTCTTGTGGGCACGCAGGGAGTCATGCAGGGGTGGGCTTCAAAAATTTTAGCAAGGGGTTCTCTGCCCGGTTGCTAGGTGAGCGTGGCCTAGTCAGCCTCCTGCACCACGGTGGAGGGTGGGGTGGGGTTGCCCTCCCCGGGCTCTGTAGGCTTTCCTTGAGCCTCCAGGAGGGCAAAAACAGCCTCCCCAGACTCCGGAGGCCCTCTGGAGGCTGGAAACGGCCCCCCAAAACTCCCCAAACTTCCAGTAGACCCGTTTTTTGCCCTCCCCGAGCCTCCGCATGTGCTCTGTACTTACCTGCATCCAAAACGGGCCGCATGGGGACTCCTGGGAGGGGTGGGGTTGGTGGAGCCACCCAGGAGTGGGATTTCGGGGTTCTCCGAACTGCACAGAATCCCAGCTAGAGGTTCTTCCGAACCCCTGCGAACCCCCAGCAGCCCACCCCTGGAAATAACCATCAGGATTCTGACACTGGCCTTAAAATTTAGGTGTGGGAAATTTAGGTGACGCCACTATGCCAGCTGCCTGGCATTAAGGATCAAAAGCACTACCAAATGCAACACGGAGTTGAAGAGCTGAAAGGGCTCTGGGGTGTTCCTTTAAGCCACCACTTGATCTTCAGCATTTTGGATCACTGATTCCGCTGTCATGCTCCTCTTATTGCTAGGATTCCCCCACCTGATATTCCTGGAATCCATTATTCTAGGCGTTCTGTGATCTGCGTTCAAATAAGTACAAGTTTATTCCATGCAACTTCTAAACAAGAATCGGAACTACTAATGGTCAAGAAAAATTGGCGGTAGGTAAGAGTCAATGGAATTTATGGAAAGCTTCGAACTTTTGTGGGCACAAAGGGATTCCAAACTAATGACATGTTTGACGCCTCCCTCAGGCTCAGTCTGGTGATTTCCTACAGTATGGTTAGATATGTTGTGGCTCCATTGCCTGAGCCTGGGCTATCGACAGATGCAGACTCTGAGAGTGAGGGAGAGGAGTTGGCAAGGCCTCCCTCTCCAGGACCCTCCTCTCTGGCAATGCTTCCAGAGGACACCGAAGGCCAAACGATAAGCTCAGAGCCAAGCACGTCCCCGCAGCCACAGGTGGACAGCGATGAAGAAGATAAGTGCTGGCTGGACCTGCGACAGAGGCGCAGGGAGAAGCGTGCACAGCAAAAGAGAAGGCGTGCCAGAGAATAGCTGAGTCACTGGACCACACCACACAGGGTATAAATGTGGGTGTGGTGGCCGGTTCAGTTTGTGATGAGCAAAAACTGGAAATACTCTATGATCTCTGTGTTACTGGACTTTGCCTGCTTTATCGGACTGCATTTGGATTAATCCTTGTATTGTTGACACTCTGCCTGTTTTATTGGAATGCTTGCAGTCTAATCTTTGTTTTGTGTGAGTAAAGTCTGAATTGGCAGCTAGCCACTGGGTTGCTGCCAGCTTTATCTTCAAAAAGTTTTGTCGTGTGGCTTATTAACTCCGGGCCGTCTGTGGGGGTGCGTGTGGGGTATGGGGACAGAATAAGATAGCAGTTTGTCCCCTTTGCCTCTTTCTGAGATTAGAGCACTGTGGCAGCTTGAAGATGGGTAGACTTCAACTCCCAGAGTTTCCCTGGAAGTATTCTGGGAGTGGAAGTCCTTCTATCTTGAAGTTGCCAAGGTTGAGAAACATTGAATTAGAGAAGAGGCAGAACAATATGACTCATGATCTGATGTCACTTCAGCTCAATTCCCAGATGACCAATCATGCAGATATTATCCAGTGTGATTCCCCGCAGGCTTCAAGCCAAGGGATGAGATAGCAATTTCCCAACATTACTTTCAGTGATTTAGTCCTTAGGAATCACCGCAGCCAAGGCACAAGGGATATCCATTGTCCACGATACTAACATGCCGCTGAAAATCTTCACGGTAACTATCTTCTTTTCCAGCCCCATTCTCTACAACGATGACTCAAGCAGTTAAAAGCCAGACTGCGTAGACTCCAACAATTAAATTTGCGTTGGTCAGCGACCATAATAAAAAGCTGCACTAAATAGTTAGTTTTGTTTCCCAGATTCCTGCTGTGTTAGTGACCACATGTTCCGCATCCTTGCTCAATTTTTTTACACCCAGAAATTTTTTTGGGGGGGGCAGGGGGGGAGAGGACAAATTGCAGGAGAAAAAAAGTCAGGTCCCAAAGGTGCTTTTTCCAAAAGGCAAATGGACTTTCTTGGGGGGGGGGGTATCTTGTTTTTTCTTCGAAAACATTTCACTTCTCATTCAAGAAGCTTCTTCAGTTCTAACCGGGTTCTATCCGAGTTAGAACTGAAGAAGCTTCTTGCATGAGAAGTGAAACATTTTCAAAGAAGAAAAACCAAGAAAGTCAGTTGCCTTTTGGAAAAAAAAAACCTCTGAATCCAGGGGTGAAATGTAAAATTTGTTACTACCGGTTCTGTGGGCGTGGCTTGGTGGGGGGGAGGGGTTGTGACTGGGTGGGCGTGGCCAACTTTTTTTTTTTTTTTTAACTTTTCAAAGCATTTTTTCTAATGCTTTGAAAAGCCTCTGCCAATCAGGCAACTCAGCTGGGATCGTCAGAGAGGCTTTTTTAAAAATACCTCTCTGCCAATCAGGCAACTCAGCTGGGCTCATCAGAGACTTTTCAAAGCATTTTTTTTACCACCTCTTTGGCCAAGAGGTTGCAGAAAAAAATGCTTTGAAAAGCCTCTGACGATCTCAGCTGAGCCGCGCGATCATCAGAGGCTTTTTTTTTTTACTTTTAAAAGCATTAAAAGGTTGTAGAAAAAATGCTTTTAAAAGTAAAAAAAAAAAAGCCTCTGATGATCCTGCGGCTCAGCTGGGCGGGGGGGGGGGGCGGGGATTTTTGCTACCGGTTCTCCGAACCACCCGCTGCCATCGCTACCGGATCGAGTGATCCAGTCTGAACCGGGAGCATTTCACCCCTGTCTAAATCAGAATCAGAATAGAGCTGGAAGGGCCCTTGGAGGTCTTCTAGTCCACTCCTCTGCACAAGCATGAGATCCTATACCATTTCAGACAAATGACTGCCCAGTCTCTTCTTAAAAACCTCCAGGGATGAAGCACCTGAAACTTCTAAAGGCAAGCTGTTCCACTGGTTAATGGTTCTCACTGTTAAGAAATTTCTCCTTAATTCCAGTGTTTTTGTCCTCCTCAGGCTCTGGAGGCTTTTCTCGAGCCTCCGGGAGGGCGAAAACGGCCTCCTCAGGCTCTGGAGGCCCTCTGGGTCCGAACGTCTGGTAGGCCTGTTTTTCGCCCTCCCAGAGCCTCCGTGCACGCCCTGAATTTATCTGCATCCAAAACAGGCCGCGTGGGGACTCCTGGGAGGGGCAGGGTGTGGTGGGTGGGGCCAACCAGAAATGGGATTTGGGGGTTCTCCGAACTGCACAGAATCTTAGCTAGAGGTTCTCCCGAACCCCTGCGAACCCCCAGCAGCCCACCCCTGCCCCTACTCTCCTTATCTTTGGGGTAACCATGACCTGGATGGCTGAGAATCCCCATAGACAATCAGAAAGGTTCAGAAGACTGAAGTAGCAGGTGGCGTACTGGATAGTTCCAGGTATATCATTATCATTTCCTGCAAGGGGCCTCCCTTTCCATTATTCACAGCAGAAAGATCATCTGATGGATATCCCCCCCCCCCAACATTCTTTTAAACTTACTTTTTTTTTTAACCAACTCCCTACAAAAACAGTTTTAAGGACGTGGCTACAAAAAACAAACCAACCGATCTCCAGTTTCTAGTTTGCCCCTTCCAAGCAAGAAATCTCTCCCACAACCAGAAATGGATTTAGAAGCCCCTTTTCCAAACCCTGGAAAAGAATATGACTGTTACCTTGAATTCTTCCACAATAATCGACAAAGCCTCGTGTCCAGCTTTTCTTAACTCTTCCAACTCAAGTTTATGCTTCTCCTGGAAACAAATAATAGATATATATTATTTATTATTTTTTTTATTTATTGATTGATTTTTATATGTCGCCCTTCTCCAGAGACTCAGGGTGGCTTACAATGCGTTAAGCAATAGCCTTCATACTTTTGTATATTTTATACAAAGTCAGCTTATTGCCCCCACAAACGGGCTCCTCATTTTACCCACCTTAGAAAGGATGGAAGGCTGAGTCGACCTTGAGCCTGGTGAGAATTGAACTCGTAGTAATTGCAGGCAGCTGGATGTTAAATGCTGCCTTAGTAGGAGGCATTAGCCTCCTACACCACTCAGGCTCCTATATATATATATATATAAAAAGACAAAAGTGAGGAAACATGGTGTGGAAGCTTTTTTCCAGGCTACTAAATCTGGACAGGCATCACAGATTTCTATCAAAGAGGATATCATTGTTACCAAGGTTTTCTCTTCTTCTGGTTCCAGAGTTTTAATTCTAAGACAATAACGTAAGAGACAACAGACTTCGTTGGATCTTGCTGAGAAAATGTTGGCCTAAACGTACTTTGTAGTCTGATTATGAGTTCTCTTTCGTGCCAGCTAAGACTTAGGGAAAAGCAACATGAACCAAGGAGGAAAAAATAGCTCATTGGATACCCAGCCTTGCCACAATTGGCAGAAAGGGCAGCTTATTCCCAAAGTGATTTAATTCTTTGACCTTCTATGAAACTTGGGGTCCATGCCAACCCATCACTAAAACCCTCCAGCTATTGCTCTTCTTACCACACAGTAAATAAGTAAATAAATAAGTAAGTAAGTAAATAAAAGATGGCAACTTGGCCTAGAAGTGTTATTGAATAAAGGCATTTAATTAATTAATTAGTATCCGGCCTTTATTATTTTTATTAAAAAAAAAAGTTTGGTAATAAAATATCTGTAAGAAAACCACCCATGCTTAGAGGGCACCAAGGATCTCACATTCAGTGTGTCTCTAGTTTGACAACACAGAGCATTTTATAACTTGGAAGCATATGATCTTTTATTTAATCTTAAATTTAATCTTAGTTATGGATGGGTAGATAGGAAGGGAGAGAGGGAGGGAGGGAGAGGATGGATGATAGATAGATAGATAGATAGATAGATAGATAGATAGATAGATAGATAGAGATAGATAGAGATGATAGATGATAGATAGATAGATAAGAGAGAGAGATAGATAGATGACAGATAGATAGACAGATAGACAGATAGATGATAGATCAATGATAGATAGATAGATAAGAGAGAGATGATTGATAGATAGACAGATAGATGATAGATCAATGATAGATAGAGATGACAGATGATAGATAAGAGAGAGAGATGATAGATAGATAGATAGATGATAGATCAATGATAGATAGAGATGATAGATGATAGATAGATAGATAGATAGATAGATAGATAGATAGATAGATAGATAGATAGATAGATATGATAGATGGCTCTGCGTGCCACCTCGGGCACGTGTGCCATAGGTTTGCCATCACAGGTATAGAGTTCCCAGCCTGAGCAGGGGGTTGGACTAGAAGACCTCCAAGGTCCCTTCCAACTCTGCTATTCTATTCTATTCTATTCTATTCTATTCTATTCTATTCTATTCTATTCCTATTCCATTCCATCCATTCCATTCCATTCCATTCCATTCCATTCCATTCCATTCCATTCTCCTTCAACAAGCTGTAAAACTTTCATCGATGCAAGAGCTGAAATTCCTTGTACTCACTTTCTAGTGGCCAAAAGTGTCAATAGGCTACAAACTAAAGTGTGTGAAATTAATCCGATTTATTCTTTTTGCTCTTCTGCCTCATAAACCCTGTGCACGCACATACAAATCTACCATACACACACAAAATGTACAAATAATCTTTCACGTACCACATGAGAGGCATGCACCCCAAAAGACTTTTTAAAAGCTCCAAATAATCTCAGCTACAGATTTATTTTTTAAAAGAAAAAAATCTTACTTGAAGTGGGAAAGCACATAGAAATAATTACCCCGTTCCTATTGAATTTCCACAATCCGCAAAATGGCTGACCCAAACTGCCATCAAAATTTGAAATGAAATTTCCATTTGCTGAGATGACATTGGGGAGACAAAATTTGACCCACTTGGTAGGTTCATACAACCCCTTTACGACCTGTGGACTTCCATTCCCAGAATTCCTGAGCCAGGAGGCTCACTAAAGAATTCTGGGAGTTGAAGTCAACAGGTCGTATTTGCTCACTCCTGATCTAACAATTCAGCTTTGGTCCATTCGTACTCTTCCAATCTTCAGAAATGCTCACGGAAGAATCTTTTTTGGGAAACTACAGTGAAATAAAGAAGAATTTCTTCTACCATGTTTTTTTTTTCCGGTTCTTAAGCAGCCTCTTATTGAAATCATATCTAAGAACTTAAAAAGCAACATAATGTCAAATTCAAGAATATCAACAATAAGCAGCATAATTAAAATATTTCGGTATTCATCCATGCCCACTCCAGAATGGCCTGAACGAACGTTTTCTAATTGATGTGTAACTAGATCTATAGGATGTTTAAACATCATTTACACAGAGTATCAACATACAAAGGTTGCTTTCAAAGAAATTGGCCTACCTAGCGGCGAAACTATTTTTACAAAAGCGACTCAGCACTGGCCTGAAAAATATCCTTTCTGCTGAGCAAGAAATCTTGGAAATGATTGTTAGCACAGCAATTTGCTGGAAGGAATTACAATCAATTATATGTGACGCATAAGGCTAACTCAAGCCTATTGTACAAGTGCTGCTTGCTTCAAATTTAAGGAGAGCTACGTGTGATTTAAATCACGGCAAATTCGGTATGTTCTAGATGTGAACATGGAGATTGGCAACACGGCCTTGTCAGATACACACGTGCACGCAGGACTTAATAGATAAGACATAAACCTACTTCTTCCATAGGGAGAGAAAGTGAAGTTTCATCAAAGACTAGCTGGATCACAACGAAACTGTGATCGGGCTTGATAAATGGACACTTACAGCTTGAAAATTAATGAGTAGTTAAAATCGGCCTCTCCTCTCCCCTTCTCTCCCTCAGCCTTGCCCCACAGAATCCTCCCCTATCCTATCCCCTTCTCTCCCTCAGCCTTGCCCCACAGAATCCTCCCCTATCCTATCCCCTTCTCTCCCTCAGCCTTGCCCCAAAGAATCCTCCCCTATCCTATCCCCTTCTCTCCCTGAGGCTTGCCCCACAGAATCCTCCCCTATCCTATCTCCTTCTCTCCCTCAGCCTTGCCCCACAGAATCCTCCCCTATCCTATCTCCTTCTCTCCCTCAGCCTTGCCCCACGGAAGCCTCCCCTATCCTATCTCCTTCTCTCCCTCAGCCTTGCCCCACGGAAGCCTCCCCTATCCTATCTCCTTCTCTCCCTCAGCCTTGCCCCACAGAATCCTCCCTATCCTATCTCCTTCTCTCCCTCAGCCTTGCCCCACAGAATCCTTCCCTATCCTATCCCCTCTCTCCCTCAGCCTTGCCCCAAAGAATCCTCCCTATCCTATCCCCTTCTCTCCCTGAGGCTTGCCCCACAGAATCCTCCCTATCCTTTCTCCTTCTCTCCCTCAGCCTTGCCCCACAGAAGCCTCCCCTATCCTATCCCTTCTCTCCCTCAGCCTTGCCCCACGGAAGCCTCCCCTATCCTATCTCCTTCTCTCCATCAGTCTTGACCCACAGAAGCCTCCCCTATCCTATACTCTTCTCTCCAGAGTTATTTTCAAGTTGGGAGGGAGAGTAGAACGTCTAACTAATTAGCATCAGAGCGTGTTATAATACTACTGCTAATAAATACTAATGCTCTGATGGTCATTTCGAAAAATCCTTTCTTAGTGAGCACCTAGAAGCCAAGAGGAACATACGTGGCAAATTTCAAGTTTGTAGGCTTTACGGTTCTGGAGATTTCGTGATTACGGCGTGAGTGGTTTTCGCTTTTATATAGAGAGAGATATAGCCATTTCCTCTCCCTTCCCTGAAAAGATTGCACAAACATGGAAGCAATTTTTTTCCTTGTAGTAATCAACACTATCCATCATTTGTCTGAGATGGTATATAGAGTCTCCTGCTCAAGGGGGTTGGATTAGAAGACCTCCAAGGCAGTGGTGGGTTCCTCCCGGTTCGGACCGGTTCTGACGAGCCAGTAGTGGTGACGATATGACATCACCAAACCATTTCTGCCCCCCTCACCGCCCTGCCACCCCCACCCACCCACCCCGTGTTATTCTTACCTTTTATTTGGCCCCACCCCCAATCTATTGCTGCCTCCCGAGTCCCAGCTGATGGGCTATAAGGAAAAACTCTTGCCGCGGGGCTTCGAAGGGCCGCCCTACAGCTGATCAGTGGTAAAAGGAGTTTGGTGGTAGACCGGTGCCTCCAAAAACAAATGAGTAGACCAGTGCCTGCAAAAATAAATGGGTAGACCAGTACAGCTCTGCAAGCAGTTAAAAGCCTGGTAGACCAGTACCTCTGCTAAATCCTAAAGAATTGTCACATGACCATCAAGCCACGCCCACAAAATAAGCCACGCCCACAGAACCAGTAATAAAAAAAATTAGAATCCACCCCTGCTCCAAGGCCGTTTCCAACTGTTATTCTGTGTTCTAAAAGTGGACAGTGTGTGGTCTCCTGGAAGAGATGGTTGATAAAACCTGTGGAAATGGCTGTTTGCTTCTGGCCATTTGGTTTTATGGGCGTGAGATTCATGATAGTCAGTTGATAGTGGTAGGAATGGAACATATAGGAAGAGCACGTGTTAGAACGAGAAGAGAAAGGATCAAGAGAATAAGTGCTGAACGAATGAAGATTGAACTTAAGAATGAGTGCCCAATGTGAACAAAGGATGCTAATAGACTGGACATGTAGAAAGAATGAATCAGATTGCCAAAAAAAAAGAAAAAATGGGGGAAAAGAGTAAGCAGGTAAATTGGAAAGGAAAAATCAAGAAAATCATGGATGGGTGGAATTAATAAGCTCC